GGAGATAGCACAGTAAGCTTGTGTGCAGATACCCTGGTGTATGTAGTAGACAAGAGATGCTTCCTCAAGTAAGGTGGAGGGCCAGGGTTGTCCTCTAACTTCTACATGTGTGCCATCAGCATACATGAATCTACTGACACACATATACACACTACACACACATTAAAAAAGAGGAAGTGTACTGAATTGATTTTTATCTTAATTATTTTTAGACAGGGTGTCTAGCCCAGGTTGGCCTCAGACTCACGGTAGGTATAACTCAGGTTGACTTTGAACTCTTGATTTGCCTGCCTCTACTTTCCAAGTGCTGGTATTATAGGCCCATGTTGCCACACCTGGCTCATGTATGTCGGAGATTGATCCAGGGCCTTGTACGTGCTAGGCAGCCATGCTACCAACTGTTACATTATCCAGTTTTTGTTTTAATTTTTTTTTGAGACAATGTCTCACTATGTTTTCCAAGTAACCTTCTAATTTATGGTGTTCCTCATGCCTCACCCTCCTTAGTATTAGGTTTATAGCTATGAATCAACAAGCTGTGTGGTGATATTTTGTTTGTGTTCTAACAAATAAAGCTTACCTGGAGATCAGAGTTCAGAGCTAGCCACTAGTAAAGGTGGTGGCTCACACCTTTAATCTCAGCACTAGGGAGGTGGAGACAGTAATATAAGGCAGGAGGAGACAGCAGCTCACTCTTTTTGGTCTGGAGGTAAGAGGTGACTTTGGCTGCTCCTTTACTTCTCTGATCTTTCAGCATTTACCCCTATATCTGACTCCAGATTATTATTATTATTATTATTAAAGACCAATTAGAATTCATGCTACAAAGCTGGGTTTCAAACTGAGTTTTAATATGTTGAATTTTGTTTTAATATCTCAGAGGAAGAATTAATAATTATTATCTTGGTAATCACTCTCCTCAGTTTTACAATTTCAAGCAAATAGAAAATGAGAATTTTTATCTCATTTTGCTGACTATACCCATAGTTTAATTTTATGAAATTCCTTATTCTTTAACCTACACATTTAAATTTAACTGGCATATAAGAAGAAATTCAGCTGGTAGTGGAGGCCCATGTCTGTAATCCCAGCAATTGTGAGGCAGAGGCAGGTGGATGGATCTATGTGAGTTTGAGGTCTACAGAGCAAGTTCCAGGACAGCCAGAGCTACATAGTGAGACCCTATCTCAAAAAACAAAAAACAAAGGGCTGGAGAGATGGCTCAGAGGTTAAGAGCATCGGCTGCTCGTCCAGAGGTCCTGAGTTCAATTCCTAGCAACCACATGGTGGCTCACAACCATCTATAATGAGATCTGGTGCCCTCTTCTGGTGTGCAGACATGCATGTAGGCAGAACACTGTATACATAATAAATAAATCAATCTTAAAAAAACAAAAAGCAAAAAACAAAAAAACCCAAAAATATTTCATGGGATGGGAGTTGAAGGAATTGTGGCCAAAAGATACAAAATTTCACTTAGAAAAGAGTCCAAGAGACCTGGTTATTTTAATAATGTATTATATACTTGAAAATTACTAAATGAATAATTTTTAGTGTTTTCCTGATAAAGAAATTTAAGTATGTACTTTAATACATATGATAAATACCTTGATTTGTCATATAAATTTTGTTTTTTGCTGTCCTGAGGATCAAACCTAGAGCCTCATATATTAGATAGATACTCTAGCACTGAGCCACACTCCCAACTCTAAGGAGCTTGTTTTAGCCTTTCTACCATGTATGTGTATGTCAGTTTACATACCATCAATATATATGATTTTATTACTCAATTAAAACAAAAGTAATGAAAAAGGAAACACTTACATTGTAAAATGCTTTTAGACAGAACATAGCACCGAGGTATGGAGTCGTCTGCTTCTCTGTGTATCTGTTCTAATGTAACTGAAGATTTCCTAATAGAGCCCAGTGTGGAGGTGCCTAACATATACTAGCCCTTGGGAGACTGAGGAAGGAAGATCACAAGTTTGATGGCAGCCCAAGTTACATAGACTGCTCTAGGCCATCCTGGGCTACATTGGGAGACTGTGTCTCACAAAACAGAAAAACAAACAAGGCTCACTGGAAAGGGATAGCAGGGATAGAACAGCAGAGTTGAGTATGTTTGTAATCTTAGCACCTTTGAGGCTAAGGCAGGAGGATTGCCATGAGTTCGAGGCAAATCTGGGCAATCCAAGGCAGACCCTGTCTCAGAACATACGGGTGTGTGTGGGATATCAGCACAATATGTTGTGTGCCTCTAATTCCATTAAAAAGATGACTTTGTGATGAGAAATTTGAGGATTGGCATTTAGCTACACAATGGAGTTATCTACCATTGCTTTAAGAGTAACAGTAGTGTACTAGTTTTTAAAAACTTAGTCCTTATATTTTAGAATGCAGGAGTACTTAGCGGAGGCAATGAAGTATCTGGGGTTGGTTTTAAAATGATCCATTGGTGGAGGGAATGGATAATGAGAATATAGGGTAAGAAAGATGACTTGTGCTTCATTCAGTGTTTGTTACAACTGAATGATGTTGGGGGATCATCACACTAGGTTTTTCTTATGTTCGATAGTTTCTGTAATAAAGTTAAAATGTCCAGCATATATAAACTTTAACAGACACTCCATTTCTTGTACTAATAATTTTTTAGTTGTACTCATTATAGTCTTGGTTACAGCATTTGGAGGAGGCAAGGGAAATTAGAACATTTTCATTACTCTGTTTAGACGCAGGATGGCACTCTTTGAATAAGTAATTAGCCGAAGTCCACTTCTCACTGAAAAAGCTGCTTTACAGGGCAGCTACTTCCTAGGACAGCCTAGCTTAACAGCAAAGGCTTTTCAGGTAATGACATAGTGATTAGTGGTGACACCCTGACTACTTTTCTGTGTTGGCTGTATCCATTTTATACCAGTGTTTGGAGCATTAAGGAAAGTTGAAGAGCACACGTATTTAACGGGTGATTTTTATGTAAAGGCAGCTAGCTGTGTGCCACGTTTATTTTTTGGTGTTGCTAGTATTGCTGTGAGGTCTAGCAATCTCAATGTATTTTACACACACACAGCTTAATGAGTCATCTTTATTTAAAACTGTCAGTACCAGCCACAGAACACATTTCTACGTTTACTATGAGGATTAATGTCAAAATGCCAGCTATCAACTGGACAAATGCTATCGCCTTCCACCCCTTGAAGAAGTGTTGAAGTAAATGTTTTGTTCCACGTTCCCAGTCTGACCTATGCCTTCTTTAAGCCAACTATTCATAGGTTTTCCAGAACAAATACACCTACTACCTCTGGTGTAGGAAAGGAAAAAAAAAATCAAACAACAACAACAAAAAAAACCAAAACAAATCAAAACCCAAATGGACAACAACGTTAGCAGAAACTAGAAATTTAAGAACTGGTATTTAGAAAGTGCCTCCTCCTTATTCTCCTCCCTGAGGTCCAATTCCGTTTTCTGGTTCCGACCATAGGAAATTGACTTGGTGTTAATTAAAGACTGGAATTTCAAGGCGTAATTTCCCCTCCCCCAACCTTGGCAACCATGAAACAACTCCCAACTCCACACTCTATGCGACAGACAGATAAATGATGCAGCAGATTACACCATTGAAAGGCAACGTTTGTCCTCAGCTATTTTCGATTTTTTCCCCCTTGCTTCTGATACTTGCGCCAGACATTGTTTGCTTGCTTAGGGCTGGAAAAGGGCATTTTTTTTTTTTTTTCTACAGTTTAATGCCAGGGGCTTTCTCCCAGCAAATGAAAGTGAAAGTGCTACGTCGTTGTGGTATTTTGCCCTTAAAGGCTGGAATGGCAGCTGGTGGGGAGGGGGAGGTGGGATAGGAAAGCTAGAAGAACCAGTTCTAAGGTTTTGTTTGTTTATCTTGAGATCTCAGCGGGGCTCCAGTGTCGTCCCCCCTCCCCCCTACCGTTTTAGGGGGCTGATTTCGGATTTATTTTCCTTTGAACAGTCATTGAAGTTTCATTCAATGTACTGCCTAAGAAATACATCTCACTTGTTGCTTTCCCCCGGTTGCAGCTTAAAACGCCATCCAGTCTCTCATCTGGAAATAATGCAACCCCCACCCCCCCACCCCCTTTTCCTTTTAAAGCTCCACATAACCTGAAGTCGATAATCACATGGAAACTGTGCAGGTCTCAGTTTATGTTTAGCTTTCATTCTTTTGGTGGAAACCTCACTTGTTGAAGTATGCATTCAGCACAGGCGTTTTGTACACACGTTGCTTTCAAGTCTTGAAATTTGCCTGCCCCACTGATCTGACTCCTTACATGACAGGTTTTATGAGCAACTTCTAAATGCTTTTATTGTACAGATTTTAAAAACAGAGAATGACACCGAAAATTCTAACAGTGACATTAGTATATCTAAAGTCACCCAAGCTCTCTACCCCTCCTTCCCTTTTCCAAGGAACTACTAACAAAGCCGACAAGACTCTGAAAGAGGTTAAAGGAGGAGGAAGGAGGCGGGGTGGGCTAGGGGAGAGAGGTTAGGGGGCCAGAGTTTCTCTCATTCACAGGGCGGAAAAGTTGACATTGTCTAAGCCCTTCTGAATGGCTGGTAGTTGGATACCCCGATTGTACCTCTACTTCCCCTCCCCCTCCACGTGACGACCCAGGACACATGCGCACCCGACGCAGCCCAGGCACATCTGCAGACTGACGTCAGTTTGTTCTGCCTCTGAGGAAAGCTGCCAAAATTTTCTTCTGCTGCAATTGAAGTTGGCTGGGGGCCGGCAGTGAGCTCGAGGGCTACTTCAACAAAACTTTTCCTGCCCTTCCTGCTCCTCTGGTCTTCTCTCTCCTGATACCTTTTGATGCTCTGCACATGTTATTTGCATAGCAAAGGCACTAAGCTGTCCAGGAAGAGAGGGCACCACTTCCACCCCCAATAAGCCTTTCCCTTCTTCTTTTCTTTCTTTTTTTTCCTTTCCTTTTTTTTAGGGGGGTGGGCGGGGGGAGGGAGAGAGTAGGGGGTTTGCAAAGCACGTCTTAGGTTGATAGCCTTGGATGTATTGAAAGCATTTTTTTTTTCTTAATTTTTTTTTTTTTTAACTGCCAAATCGGCAGTCAGTTCTCTAAAGCTCTGGTTAGCGAGACTATAGGGTTTTATTCTGGCTGCAGAATAACTGGCTGGTGTGGCTTTCCAAAGGGGGGCAAAAAGAAAAGAGAGAGAGAGGAGGGAGTACGTGAGTCGTCCAGTGCAATCTCTATTGTTTGAAATTTACTTTTTATCAGAATTTGAAGATGAAAACGGTAAGGAAGACTTCACAATATTCAATGAAACCTTAAAAAAAAAAACCCTTGTGCTTTGCTTGTCTTACGAATAACGCTTAGAACTCAGTCTCTCTCTCTCTCTCTCTCTCTCTCTCTCTCTCTCTCTCTCTCTCTCTCTCTCTCTCTCTCTCTCTCTCTGTGTGTGTGTGTGTGTGTGTGTGTGTGTGTGCGCGCGCGTGCGTGTGCTTTATGGCAAAGAGTGAGTTTGACTGAACTCATTTTACAGACAAATCTTTTAAACTCTAGACTTCTCGCGGATGTAGAATTCCGGGGCTTACAGGTATTTTATGATGTGAAAAATACTCGCTCGTTGTATGAATTTACATGTTGTGTGAGGTAGACTTGATTATGATCATCGTCGTCTTTTAACTAATCACCGGATAGTGGTGGAGAAAGTAAAGATGATGCGTGTTTTTAATCGATTTCCAGATTTATGCAATTGCCTTCTGCAAATCCGTTTCATGTCAGTGTCTTTAGCATTCAGACAAGTGCATATTTCATGTCTGTGCTCTCAGGCCAGCAGAAGTGTGCTGCCTGTATGTAGCACTGATGCTCTAGGATATGCTAAGCTCTTAATAGGCTAATCAGAGATGAAAGCGTGTGGTTTTTATTTACTTTTGCTCACTTGGGCCATGCTAGACTCAACCCTCTGGAGTCTTGTTTATCAGGGTATGTCTGTATATGTGATACATGAGACTAAAATTTAGGGATTGGGGAGAGAGAACAAGAGTGCTGGAGAAAGTATTGGAAAATCTTTCTGACAATTTGTGCTATAATTTCTGTCTTTGATAAGTTTTCCACTCGTGCTAGAGGCAAAGAAAGCAAGTCAGAGTAAGAAAGCACACTGAGAGGGAACAAGAGAGTAAGTTTCTTACTCTTGTTTTTATTTGAGGCGCTGGTGCAACGCGTTTGGGCCAAATGCCAACTGTCTGGGTCACACGCGTTTTATCCAAATAGATTTAGCGCTGCTGTCTGGAAACGGGCTGCTGAATGTTAACTTTAGGATCAACTCAACCAGGGCAGCTCAGACTGTTACCCTCTGTCTGGATGAAGTGGAAGGGAAGGGGGGTGGTGAGGGTGTGCAAAGCCGGGGGCGGGGCGGGAGGGGGGAGGCGACGACAAACCATTACTTGGAACTTTTAAAAAATACACTGAATATAAGTTTCAATTTACTCTCTTATGTTCAGAGTTTTTTTTTTTTTTTTTAACTATTTTTTCCTCTTTTCTTTTAAGCTTATATTGATTAGACTGAAACAATTAGTGGTGAATTAGAAGTCCTTAAAATTCATGACAGGGAAAGAAATGTAAATTCAAATGTAAATGTAAAACTGGTGCATTTGGAGGCAACTAAGAAAATTAATTTTGGAGATAATTATTTTCACCAAAGTGGTAGTGCAGTCTTGTTTATATTAATTTGGTGCTTAAATGTGAGCATTAGTGATCTTTTTTGAAAAATACTATATTAAAGTGTATAAGTTGATTTAAAACAAATCAGCAAATCATTTATTTGCCACAAATGGCAGCAGATTATTCTGTGTGGTTGTATTAATATTTTTGTGATTTCGCAGAGGAGAATCTTCTAATCATTAAGACTGAAATATTGTAAATAACTTTGAGTTTGGTCTATAACCTGCAAATGCATCTCTATTCTTGTCCGTTCTTACTGCTTCCTCTTCACTTCCCTAGCAACCCAAAGTAGCCATGAGTGGCTTAGGGTGGGTCTCTGTGCCAAATCCTGCTGTTTGTGATCTTAGTGACAGATGAATTGAATTCTCATATTAAGGAAAGTTAGTAGCATATTTGGAATTTGTGGGAAGGGAGAGAAAAATGAAGAGGTAGGTAATTTGTCACAGTTAAAAAACAAAAACAAAGTTGGTTATCAATATTTTACACTAATATCAAGAGAGAAAAAGCATTTTTTAAAGGAAAAAAATGTTATAAAACAGGTAGCATTAGGAGAATTATGTAATTAAGGGCTTTATTTTGGGAAATTTTGTTTTGGATTTTTGCTTTTCTGAATAGATAAGTTTTGTGTAAATTGTGTATTTAATTATACTTTTTTGGTGACTAATCTTACAACATTTGTAAATAACCAAAATCCTTTATACTTGGAACCAAATTGTGTCTTTAGCATACAGTTGTTAACAAATATTTGTTGAGAGAAAAAGACTGGAAAATGAAATGAAAAGTTTTTGATGTATAAAATTTAAAGGACCTGATGGACTTAGGATTTTGTTCCTTTTCCATGGAGACCAAATCAGCTTTAAAATAAATAACCAAATGAAGATAGATGAAAAAAGTTGAGAAAGATGTTAACCATGTTCTCTAGCTTCATAATAATAGCTAGTGAGAGGAAATTACTACTTAGCTACTTCTACATCACTTGAGTGGGCCGTCAAACCATAAAGAACAATCAAGTAACAGGCTTCAACTAGGGCAGACTACTGAGGGGATCGCTGTGTACAAGTTGTCTGGTCTTATTTCTTCAACATAACTAGTGTAGTTTTGATCCATGGAAGCAGTTAAATTATTCTTTAACTTTGCCTGCTGGGGCATTTATACTATGAATAAAAATCATATACAAAAGTCAAAGTGAACTGGACATTTTGCTTGTATTTTCAAATTTAAAAGTTATAGGTATAATTATCATAGCCTAGGTTCTTCACTCTGCCTTAAAGAGAAGACAGCTTCCATATTGGCTCTATGATATCCTACTATCCCACATTTTTCAGGGAAGGAGGAATATGAATTTTTTTTTTGTAGGAAAAGCTTTGAAAAGTAATACATAGTAGGAGGGGAGGGATAACGTTTATTTAGTCACTCCAGTGAAGCACATAGACATGCTATCAGGTTCAATCTAATTTATTCTCTCAAAAAGTCTCAATTTTATAGTTGAGAAAACAGGTCCAGGGAGGTTTTGTAACTTGAAGTCAAACTAGGAGTAGCCAGCCTTTGTGTTTCTCACAACATAATAATACTGCTGTTCTTATGCAACTTGAAAGGTTTATTAATGCATTGTGATTTCTGAGCAATTATCTAGCATTTTAGTGTTAGTTGAACTTTGGAAACTATTTTTTTCTACACATACTTTATTCTGGCATTTAGATTAACTTTCCCAGCAGGTGTCAGAAAGTGGTTTAACACAATTCACTTGTACTGTGTGAGTGACTAAGAGTGATTTAGATATGCTGCTTATAATTTAATTGAGCTCTGGCCAACTGAGCACCAATACAGTGTCAAGTTTGTTCTCTGAGCATAGGAGGTTTAAAAGATGAGGAGGGAAGGAGAAAGGCATCTATCTAACTTATTGAGTGCCCATGTACCAGATACTGTATCTAGTGATGAACAAGACCGCAACTCCAGTCTGTTTAATTCTGGAGCTCCTGTTCTTTCTATGAAGTACCAATGCCCTTCTTAGGGAATAAGTTACTTTAGTTTACTTATTTTTCCTATTAATGCTCCTGGCTTAGTCAACTTAGATGTTTATAGATTAGTGTTAGGAAGGGTTGGAGTGAAGTTACAAAACTGAAGATCAAGGGGGAAAATTGTTTTCTAAATCAAGCCCATTGTATTGTAAGTTTGCCATTAGTTTCGGTGTCCAAGAAAACAAAGGGAAGGTGTGGATGATCTAATACAAATCCCTCAAGACTGCTAGAAAATGAACTCAAATGTGCTAATTGTAAATTCCTCCTTAAAAGAAGATTACAATTAAAGGAAGTGGAGGACCCATTTGATGTCAGATGTTATTACTGAAAACATTCTAGTGATTTGAAAACACTAAGGATGAGTGCTGTTCATGAAGCAGTAATCATGCATTGATATTCCATGGTTCAGTCTGGAGTAGAGAACCATGTCTGAGAAGGTTGCAAACCAAGACTCTGGATTCTTTTCTTTATTATGATTGAACAATAGTGGCATTTAGTGTTTTTACAGATTTTAAACTTGAGAATATAAAGTTTTTGTCTTGCCTAAACAGGAATAAAAGTTGTGACATAAAACAACTGTGTCCAGTTGCTTTAAAAAAAAAAAACTGTTCATGCTAATGGATTCCATTTGCGAACATATTGTACTGCACAGTTGTAGAGAACTACTCCTGAATATTCAAAAGAGTACTTCAAGCTAGAAGTGTGATATAATACACAAAACTTAGAATTTTGAGGCAGATAGCCATGTGTATGAATGTGGACTCACTTGCTAGATCTAGACTCACCTGATCTCTGTGAATGCCAACTTCTTCAAGTGATAATTGGTGGCTGTATTACTTATCAATTGCTGCATAACAAATTACCACAGAGTAACTAATTTAGCACACATTTGCTATGCCAGTTTCTGTGAGTCCAGCTGTGACTATGCCCTTCTGATGACATTATAATCAAAGTGTTGGCAAAGACTGAGTTCTCTCCAGGAACCCTCACTGAGGAAGAATGGACTTCTAAGTTGATGGATTCTAGAGCAGGATTCAATAACTTGCTATTGGATGAGGCTCCAGTTTCTTGCCAGTACTATGTGGAGGTTCCTCTAATTTCCTTTTTGTGAGCATCTAAGTATTAAGTTGCTTCATGTAAGCCAATGAAACAAAGTCTGGTACCAAGTTGTAAGCCAAGATCTTTTGTAATCGAATCATGGAAATGGCATGCTCTCAATATTGAGATATTTTTCTTGACTAGAATTAAATTATTCAAGGGATGAGAATGACAAAAGAGTGTGGATGTTAAGAGGCAGGATCACTGAGTCTGCCTTACCACAGGGGTGCTATTATTTTGTGAGTGAAGATTAAATCTGTATTTTAAATATTTTATTTTTAGTTTGACCTTAAACTACTTTTCTATATATTACTAATTAGGCTTCTTCACAGGAACCAAATGTACTATTTCTACAATTACTAATGCTAGTGCCTATTCCCACCATCTCCACCTGCTTGCCATCTAGGACTTTTGGAGTGAAATTCCTTATATAAGTAATGATTATATCCAACAGTCTGACTTGTGAAATTCCACTCATTCCCAAAAGCTACCTGGGATACTGTTTTGCTCTGGCTTTCCGTAACCTGTCTTCACTGACTTAGGGGTTATTTCCTTCATCTGATCACTGAAACATACTTCTATATTGAAATTTTCTGTTATTTAGATTATGAATTCCTCATCAAGGGCAAGGATTGTGTTTAATCTTTTCTGTATTATGCTGTTGTTAAATGTCATTTTTAAACATGGTGAGAAAATATTTCTTGATTAGTGAACCAACTTTCCAAAGGTCAGCAGTTTGGTCATGTCTGTAGAGATGAATGTGAGGCATTTTATGTAGTTATGATAACCACTATTTCTAGCTTAATTTTCCAGTTACCCCTGTATATGCCTGATTATATTTCATCTACTATTGATTCATTTATTCATTTATTTTTAAGCCAACAAATATGGCAAATGTTTATTATGTGACTACTATGTATGTTAGGAATTTGAGATAACATTTTTTCAAATATCTTCTACATTTTTCTTTATCTTATTTGTACTAATATATCTTACGGAAGTGATTTAACTTTCATTACAAAGTCAGACATAATATTACCAAAATCAGATAGTGAACTATGGCACAGTTGTGTACACAATAGGAACTGTTAAACTACGTAAGGATGGTTTACCTTTATCCCAAGCTGTATTACTTCGGGGTTCTAAAATTACATTTGAACTTTTTGTTTTTTTTAGTTACTGTTTTGCTGTTAGTGAGCTACTTTTTAATCCTTTAGTTATTTTTTTCTTCTGATGTGTTATCTGTTGGGAAACCAGGTGGCCACATATGTAAATATTTTGAATTATGTATTCTGAGTGAGGTTATTGGTCAGAGGTAAGACATGTGAGATAGGACTTGAGAACTGTTGTGATATTTGGAATAAGGTTGTAAAGACATCTTTTCAAGTACATTATACAGAGTTGAAATTACTTTATTTGAGTTTCCTAAGAAGTCATGTAAGACTTCTAGATAAATTCTTTTCTACCATAAATCAGTTCAATTTTTTAGAAGTTTAGGTTGTGATACTATCTAAGTGTTCATACACAGTTGATAAATCTCACTGTGTGTTTATGGATCTACTTTGTCAGAACAAAACACAGGTACCCCATGAAGTAGCACACCAGTCTTGGATATGTATTGGTGAAATTATTAAGGCCACTCCACGTAGTTAAAAGGGAGGTTTATTTAGTGGCATAACTTACAAATGAAGGGATAGGTAGGTTGCAGGGTCTGGGGAAGACGTAGCGCAGTCCGGCGGTGTTCTCTGGAGAACACTGCTTGGTCTACCTCTAGCGTCCAGGGTCCAGGAACCAAGAGAGAGCAGCGCATCCGGATCTTGGGTCTTCAGGGCCCTCTCTTGGCCCCGTCTTGTAGGCGTGACAGTTACCGAAGCCTCAGTGGGGGTTGGAACTTCCAGATCAAAGCTGGAATGGCTACCCACTACATCTCCCCCTTTTGTCTAAATAAGAAGGTTCTAACTTAATACAAAACTATATACAAAGGAATGGTTATCAAATATTGTCCAGGAGTAATGAGGGATAATGACCTAGATAAGATGGAACTACAATCAATGCAAACAATATCAAGCAAGAAACACATACTGAAATCCAGAGACGTCTAGAGCATTGGTAAATGGCATGTTACAAAGATCATTCCAAAAGGTGTCCTATCCTAAGAACCTGAATCTAATACTTAATATGTTCTATCTAAGATATTATATATATATATGTATATATATACTAAGTTGTAACTATAACTGCTAGTCTTCAATCCCATCAAAGACCTGAGAAGGAATATAACGGTACCTGAGAAATGGAAGATGAATGCAAGCAACTTTCGGGAATCTTGCAAGAGTAGACAGAGACAGCTGGCAGCCTGGACAGTCACCTAATGTTTCTCAGCATTGTTGGTGCATTCAAATTGGCTACAGGCCTAGAGTATCTGACAGACCATTTTTGCTACCCACTACAGATATGAATGGGTTTAAAACATTTTGTTGAGGAATGAAATCACATACCGTTCGTTCAGTGCATACGATGGACTTAGATTATGCAGTTTCTCTGCGTTTTTATCTTACTAAAAGGAGATTGGCACACCATGAATATCCATTGTTATCTTCAGAGTTTCATTATTTTTAAAAGAGTTATTAGTCTCCTCTTCAGATTCCTTCCCACGCCCTCTTCCTCCTCCTCTCTCCTCTTCTTGTTTTCTTGATTCCTAAAATATTGTGCAAGCTCAACAACTCTTCTGTAATCTCAAGCTCCAAGGTTATTTATTTAATTATTTAGTAGTTGTAAAATTATCCTACTAGCTACTTAGGTTTCTGATTATGTATTTAACTATATTAAATTCTTTTGAATTTATGTCCTTTGGCAAATATTCATTAATCTGTAGTAAATATGTCCATTCATGATATTTTTTCAGTTGACTCACTTTTTCCCCTCTAGGTTAAAGAATGGCCATACTGAAGTGACCCATCACTCTGAGCTTTGCTTATGAAAAATTTTATCATCATTATTCTCTTCGTTTTGGATCAAGAAAATGAATCCAGACATAGAAGAAAGTACAAGATGTTGGGAAAAAATACCTGTTAAACAGTGAAGCATCTAACAACTCATTTGCAAGAAGATTTAAGGAATTAAATTTGTTATGCTTCGATATTGGTATGATATTGACTCTCTAGCTCATAGGTAGCCCTCCAAAATATCATTCAGTTTTCCAAATTATGGAAATTTCGTGGAAAACGTTGACTTGGATTTTGAGCCTCATCATGGCTTCTTCGGAATTTTATAGTGACCACAGACTTTCCTACAGTTCTCAAGGTAGGATATCTGATTTTGAAATTTGATAGAAATTATCACAAAATGAAAACTCTCTCTCTATAGTTTGGTAAATGGTTTCTTGGGAATATTAGTCAGATGGACAGAAACAAAGGTGCTAAGAGGATGTTTAAGTTGTCCCTTGGAGCTAATTCTTGAGTGGGTCTTAGAGTTGACTGGTCTTAGAAAATGATGCACTCTAAGCTGCTGCTTTTCTTATCTTCTACATTTTAATAGGCTCATTCCTGGCTAGGGTTTGGAGCCAGGGTCATTTTCCGACAGAAACCAAACGTTTATGTTGTAGAAGACGAAGAAACCAGATAAACTTTGATACAGACCTCTTTAAACGTGAACCCTTCATTTAAAATACAAAAATAACAACAAAATATCATAAGGATTCTCATTCTTACAATTTTAATTTAGACAATTGAACTTTATATCATAGAAATGACCTCAATAAAGAAAGTCCCAGGAGGAAATGTCATATTGTAGTTCATGGACCAGTCCATTCCTCATAGAGTTATTGAAAACCAAACCTTTTGGATTTTCCTCCCATGAATACCCAGTAACAAACAATTTTTTTGCTGCTGCTGAAGGTGTTACAGACTGGAAGTCTGTGTGTGAAGAGTATACCTCTGAATGTTGATCAACAAAACCATAGTACTTAATTGACTCTTATTTATAAAAGTGAATCATCATATTTTAAATTATTTCCACTGATTATAGTTTTATTGGACCTTATGTTTATGGAGTAAACTCCATGTGTGGCAGTTACACAATGGGATGATAACTGGTTTCTCCTAGTGGTAAACCTAACTGAATGAAGGTTTGGCTAAGAAAGAGATGGTTTACTAATCTAAGTAAGAAAATCATGGGGCTGCAGAGAAGGCTAAATGGTTAAGAACAATGCTCTTGCAGAGGATCTGTGCTCACTGCAAGCACCCACATGACTGCTCACATCTATCTGAAACTCCACTTTCACTGGTTCTGATGCCCTCTGGCCTCCATGGAAACTGGATGTGTACATGGTGTATATACAAATATGCAGATAAAATGCTTATGCATATGAAATAAAAGATAACAAAATAAATAAAAAGAAAAATAATAGTCCTCTAATTTTTTCTACACTTGATTGTTAACATTTTATTGAGATATAACATACAAATAACACATCTATTAAAGTATACATCTCAATGGTTTTTAGTAGGTTTTAGAACTGTACAATATTACCATAATCAACTTTAGTGCATTTTAGTAGTTTTTAAAAAAAGACTAACCAAAACAAAACAAAAGAACCTCTACCCAGTAAGAGTTACTCCCAAATTCCCTATCCCTAGGCAATTTCTCCACTTTGAACTCTAGAGATTGGCCTCTTCTGACTATTGCACAGAAGTAGGAAGAAGAGAGAAGGCAGTTGCTGTGAAAGAGAATTCATGTGCAATTGCAGCACACATCACCGCTGCTTTCCTTTCTGCTGGAGAATAGTGTTTTTATTATATTATTATATAAGAAGTAAGGATTTTCTTACCACAGCCTGTCTCTTCATCAGTTGATGAGGAGTCAGTTGCATTACTTCTTCCCTTGGGCTTTGATGAACAGGCCTGATAAGAGCATTCACACATAAATTTTTACCCAGAAATGTGTTTTTATTTCTTTTTTGTATGTACCTTGGAGTAGAATTATTGCTAAGTGATCTGGTAATTCATGTTTAACATTGTGAGGAGCTGTCAGATTAGCCTCTAAAGTGTCCCTGGCCTTTCACATTCCTAGTGATGTTCTACTTCTTTGAAGATAGTTTCTTCAGAGCTGTAGAGATTCTCCACGCATGTTTTTGGAAAGCTTACAAAACTAACTTTATCTGAATTAAACATTTTTTTTAAATGTATATGTGCTTTTTGTCTCATTTTCATGTAAGATTTTCATACTTCTAGAAGAACTTTTAAACTCCATATGTTAAAAATTAAATTTAGGAAAGAAGAGTAGTCCTTCACAAATAATTTTTTTAAATAATACCGTTTTGAGGAATTAAACAATTGAAACTTAATCTTTCAATTTTATACCTTTACTCTTTCATTTTGTATAACATTTTCATCCACACCTCACATATAATGATGCATAGTTTTAATTGACATCATTATTTATATTGCTACTTCTTTGTTCTGTTAAATTTTCTTTTCTTCCATGTGCTTTTCTGGATTCTCTGCCTTGTGACTACAAAGAGGAATTCCTGACTTACCTTGAACACTACCAGCTAACTATTCCAATAAGAGTTGATCAAAATGGAGCTTTTCTCAGCTTTACTGTGAAAGATGATAAGCACTCAAGGAGGAGACGAAGTATGGACCTTATTGAGCCACAGCAGGCGGTGTCTAAATTATTTTTTAAACTTTCAGCCTATGGCAAGCACTTTCACCTAAACTTGACTCTCAATACAAATTTTGTGTCTAAACATTTTACAGTAGAATACTGGGGGAAAGATGGACCCCAGTGGAAACATGATTTCTTAGACAACTGTCACTACACAGGATACTTGCAAGATCAACGCAGCACAACTAAAGTGGCTTTAAGCAACTGTGTTGGATTGGTAAGTAAATATGACTTTACATTTCTGATGGGAAAATAGATTCACGATATAAATACCTTTCCTTGCGCTAAAATATACAGGTAAGTGGTTTAAGTAGAAAGGTGATAGCCTAATATTCCTTATTTCTGCTGCTTTTACTTTTCATCCTCGTTTTCCATAATGCTTACAGTGATTTTCCCAGGACAGCCTTTTAAACTCATTGAGAAGTAGAGACTGAGTGACCTCTTAGGCATCCTTTTATACTCAGAATTTCCTGTTCAGATCACAAAGCTTCATCATTCATGAACAGTTCCAAGGTGTATTGTATTCAGGAAACCATGACACTAACTACCCTTTAGGTTCTACATTTGTCTCTGGGAGGGCACACAGATTTAAAGTAAGTTATGGTCTACTTATGATGATGAGTTCTTAGAGCAAAATTTTATACCAGTGTGTATGTAATATTTCCTTACTATTTATATGAAGACTGTTGTTAAGCCTATTTTGTTTTGAAAATGGGTTCAAGAGTGCAGGGTACTCCTAAATGCTGCATATTTGAGTCTATTATAGTAAAATGGTAAGTACATAGTTCACAGTTGCACATAGTAGTGATTTCAGATAAAATCATACTCCTCCACTTCCTCATCTGCTCTTACCCTGTTCAGGCTAATATAGATGTTCCATTAAAACTTTATGTGTAAAGAACACAAACACTTTTATGTCTTAGTTCTATTTTCAGCAATCATTTTTCTTTCTTACTATAACAGACCCACACTCTTGTTTTTAACTTCAGTAGAAAACAACAATCTAAGTACAGTAGAATTTAAATAAGTTTTAAATTAAAAAACTATGTAATTGGGAAATATATACACATATAAACTGCCCCGGCCAGCAGGGCTTCAATGGGTTCTTGACCACCCTAAGGACAGAATGATAGGGACAGGAGATACAAAGGAAATACACCAAGACAATATTCTGATCAAGGTGCAACTTTATTTTTCTCAAGGAGGGTTTATATAGTTCCTGCAGGGTAGGAGGAGCAAGAAGCTGTCATCTGCATAGGGTGGGGCAAGCTAACAGGATGTTTGTATAGGATGTTTACAGGGTGAAAGGGTCAAGGGCTCTGACTCAATGTCCTGTTGCTAGGCAACCTGACTGTAAGATGATCTAGTTCCCTGTTTTAATGGGGGGGGGGTCTGTATTTTTCCAATAATTAGAGATTCTGTCCTTGTTCCTGACAATAAACAAACACACACACATACACACAAACACCTGTACACATAGGTAATTTTAAATTTAGGTTCTGCATGAAAATATGATATTTCTGAATGTGGCTTATTTTATTTAATGTAATGTTTTTCAGTTGTATCCATTTTCTTGAAAATGTCATAATTCCATTTTTCTTTATGGCTAAACAGAAAATTCCATTGTACGTATTTACCACAATTTCTTTTTCTTTAACTATTCATCACTTGATGGGCATCTAGGCTGATTTTATCTTTTGGTTATTGTGAACAGTGCAGCTATAATTGTGGATGTGCAAGTATCTTTGTGGTATGTTGACTTAGTGTATTCATGAATAGTATAGCTGGGTTATACTGGGCATTGTTTGAGGGCCCTTCATACTGATTTTCTTAGTGGGAATACACAAGTTTACAACCCTAACCGCAGTGTATAAGGGTTTCTTTTTGCCCATGTCCTATCAGCATTACTTTTCAGGATGGAAGTCAGTCTGTCTGGGATGAACAAATCTTAAAGAAGTTCTCATTTGCATTTCCAATGGCTAAGCAGTAGGAGTCTACCTAGGGCACATGTGGCTTTAGCCCTGAGAGTTGATTTTTGTGTCCTCTATTCAGTTTCACTGATCTACAGACCTAGTTTGTACCAGTACTGTGATTTTTGTTGTTGCTACTTACTGTGGCTCTTTAGTATAATTTGAGATTGGGCGTTGTGACACCTTCAGCATTACTCTTTCTATTGAGCTATAGCTTGCCTTTTGTCCTTCTATATCAATTTTATGATTGCTTTTTTTCCTCCTGTAAACAATGCCATTATAATTTTGATGCAGATTGCATTGAATAGATTGCTTTTGGTGATAATGACATTTTCACAATATTGATTCTTCCAATCCATGAACAAGGGAAGTCTGTCTATTTTCAGATGTCTTTAATTTTTGTATTTAGTGTTTTAAAGTTTTCATTATAGAGATCTTTCAATTCCTTGGTTAGGTTTATTTTAAGATACATTATTTTAGTTTTGTAGGAAAATTTGTGGACACTTTTTTTTTCTGATCATGTCTATTTGAGGTCTGAATGCTACGTTTGAATGTTTATTTCTTTCTCTAGATTTGGGATATTTTCTGTTACAATTTTATTGAAGAAAGTCTATGTCTTTATTGTTTATCTACTTTCTCTTGCTTTCCTGATCACATCCCAGAGTTCTATTTATTTATTTTATTTATTCTTCTCTCAAACATTAGATACTGACTGCAGTCCCATCCCCCCACCCCCACCCCATCCCAGATTCATTTCTTCTCCTGTTTCCCTTCAGATAAGAGCAGGCCTCAGAGATATCAACCAAACATGGCATAACAAGTTCCAGTAACACTAGGTACAAACCCTCGTATCAAGACTGAATGAGGCAACCCAATAGGAGGAAAAGGGTCCTGAGGGTAGGCTAGAGTCAGAGACACCCCCTACTCCCAGTGTTAAGAATCCGACAAAAACACAAAGCTTCACTGTTGTTTTATCTCTGGCACAGCAGCTGCACCTGAATCTACTTCTGTTTCAGCCAATAATTGTGGCTCAGCAGTTACTGACTTGCTTCTCTGGTAGTCTTTACATCCCGCAGAATCTGCCTCCTGCCCTGCCACCAAATGTAGCTTTAAATCTCTATCATTCTATTTATCAATAAGACTCAGTAGTCAGAGGCTCGGGCTAAAAACCTGCTAGCTCAGAGAGGTTGAGGAGCAACTAGCTGAACTTACCTCCTTACCAAGACTCAGAAAGAGTGCAGTTCTTCTGCTCCACCAAGCCAAAAAAGATCACTACACTCAGTCCCTCCCTACTGCTTCCTGTGCGTCTCTCTATCCATATTCCAGAGGGCCTCTGACTCTGTATGATTATTTTCTGTCAACTAGTTGCTAGCTCTGCCTCCTGACCCAAGATTGATTTTATTTAATTAATGCAAATGCAAATTTGGGATTCAAGGTGTTATATATCCATATGTAAATTTCCCTTTTAAATACAATCTTTTAGTATTGGCTTTGGATTGGAGAATTGATAGTTATTGATATTGAGAGTTATCACTGAAAGTATTTGTTAATTTCTGTTATTTTGTTAGTTTTATTGTATTTTGCATCGTTCTATTCCTATTCTAGTGTGTTTTCTTTATTATTATTTAATTATTTAATATTATTATTAGTGTATTTCTATTCTAATGTGGTTTATTCTTTCACATGGCTTTATAGATGTGTTTATCTTTCTTGTCAGGTGGAAAGATTCAAGTATTTTCTGTAGATCTCGTTTAGTGGTCATCAATTCCTTTAGCCTGCCTTTATCATGGAAAGTTTTTCTTTCTCTTTTGATTATGACAGATAGTTTTGCTGGATATAATAGTCTAGGATGGCAGTTGTTCTCTTTTAGAGCTTGTAATAATCATTCTGAATCCTCATGGCTTTTAAAGTTTTTGTTGATGGTCTTGCCCTTTTATAAGTGACTTTGTGTTTTTCTCTTGCAGCTTTCAATGTACTTTCTTTGTTCTGTATTTTTAGTATTTTAACTATACTAGACCATGGGGATGTTCCTCTAGGGTCTTGTATATTTGGTGTCAAAATACCTATTATACTTGGATGAGCACCTCCTTCCTTGGATTTGGGGCATTTTCTGCTGTGATTTTCTTGAAAATACTTTTCTCTGCATTTAGCATGAATTTCTTCTTTTATGCCCATAGATTGTCTTTTCATCATGTCCCATGGATCTTAAATGTTCCATTGTTTTTTATTATTAATTGTCCTTGTCATTGTTTGAATGTTTCAGTTCCTTTACATTGTCTTTAAGCCTGGATATTCTGTTTCCTCCTTGATTGATTCTATTGATGAGGTTGCTCATGGAGCTTTTTATTTGACTTATTGGATTTTTCATTTTCAATATTTCAGGCACTTTTTTTTTTTTTTTTTTGGTTTTTCGAGACAGGGTTTCTCTGTGTAGCTTTGTGCCTTTCCTGGAACTCGCTTTGTAGACCAGGCTGGCCTTGAACTCACAGAGATCTGCCTGCCTCTGCCTCCTGAGTGCTGGGATTAAAGGTGTGCGCCACCACTGCCCAGCTCAGGCACTTTTTTCCCCCAGAATTTATCTTTTCTTGAATTCCACCTTCAATATGTATTGAGGACCTATCCTATATTGAGTAATATATTTCAGTAGCTCCTTCTTTGTTTTTTCTTGGAATTCTTTCAAGAGTTTATTTGTGCACTGTGAACTCTTTTAATACATTTACATTCATTCCTTGGAATCTATTGTCTGGGTTTTCATCAAATTTACTCTTATTGGAGGACATCATTGTGCATTTAGTTATTTTTGGAGGAGTCATATTGCCTTTGATTTTCATGTATTTCAATTATTTCATGCTTTTGCATTGAGGCTCATGCATCTTGGTTAGGATTAATTAGATCCGTTGTTGGATATTTTCCCCAACTTTTCTTTCACTGTAAGTATTTGCAGTGCTATAGAGGGACTGTGTAATAATAGCATTGAGCTAGATTTGTGTTTAGGAGACTAGGCTTAGTTCCCATTACTTCTCTGAAAATAGAATACTGCCTGAAAAACAGTCACTACCAAAGAGTAGGTCAACTATGAACATACAGAAATAGTCAAATGACAAACAAGCCCTTTAAACTCCAATAACTTTAGGAAACAAAGAAACACTGATGTACATGAAGGTATTATTTTTTTGTGGATATGAGTAAAAGGGAACAAAGGAGATTAAGAATATTGGTTAATATCGAATTAACAGAGAAACTATAG